ACGTTAACGCTGCATTTATCTAACCAAAGCATTTTATGGACTTATTCTGCTCTTTCCGTGGTTTTTTAGAGCACGGGTATCAGCTCATGAATTATAAAGGATATTGAGAGGAGGTGGGGTGCGGTCTCACCATCAGGGTTTCAGCTCTAAATTCGGAAAATTGAATCTATTCTTTTGAAATTGGTTTTTATCCCAAACGCATACCATAGGCCACCTCACCTTGGTGCTTTGTGAATGACACTAATGGTGAACAGATCATGGCCTTCTTTTGGGGTACAATTACCTACCAAACAGGTGTCATTTTCCGAAAAAGTCCGAAAGTTGTTGCAGGACTGAATATTTACTTTGTTTCTCGCAAGCGGGCATGTCGTAATTGCAGATGTAGAATTTCACGAGGTGACGGGCCAGGAATATCAGCAAAAAATATCACATGTGCGCTCAGATGCTGTCTGATACCACGTGGGTTGCTTGGTCTGCAGTTACGACATGTGCGGCCGCGGGAAACAAGACGTTTAAGCAGGATTGCAACAATCGAAGCTAGTTGCTTGTCCTTCCAGACAGTTCTTTTGCCATGACATCACCTGCGCACGTCGTTAAACGAGAAAGTCTGGTTATTTCCAGAACACTAAAAATTCAATGACCATATTCGTTATAAGTAATGATTACTCATGAAACCAGTTTAGGCTGTGAGAGAATTATTTGGTCATAAAAGAGCAAATTTACGTTGATTTAATCTTCCCATTTCGGTACGGTAGTACATTTTTGTCATTTTCTATGAAGTACGTAGAGTACAGCCTTTTCTAGACAGACCCATAAAAGTGTTCTTTCCGAACCCCGGAATCTATTCGTTTGATCTAGCATAACTACATAGTTCTGGAAATATCTGTTCCTGACATTTTTCAATTCTCCCATGAAAAAATGACAAAAAAAATACGTTTACGATTTTATTTCACGCCTTCAATACTTCTACTGTACATTGAGAAATACCTTCCATTGTTGTTATCAGAGTGACGTGATGCGAAGTTAATCGGCGAATCCAGTTTTTCGTGTCATTTCAGAGAAGACGGCAAGTCGTCCACGGATGTCAACCGAGGCCATCGGGGCGACGAGGGCTACGGCGACGACCAACGCGACGTCCACGATCGACTGTATCTACGAGAAACTCATGCAGGTCAGCTCTCACATATTCTGGGCCATAGGGGAATAGCGCCGGCAACAAAACCGCCCTTAATGTATTTATTTGCTTACCCAGGCAGAGTATACTCGAGAAATACGTGTACATGTAAGGTACCCTCAATCTCGGGGAACGAGAAAAGTGTCGAGTGCAGACTGTACGCCACAAATGACGCGCCAAGAAAAAGTGGCTTTTTCTTCTCATTTTTATAGCGGTGTCATTTGTGGTGTGTGGTCTGCACTCGACGCTCTTCTCATTTTCAAACATAGGGTAAGTGTGTGTGTGCATGCAAAAACCAAAATTTGTGGAAAGTACAAAACAAATATTTCAGCAAACAGGTAGTCCCTAGTGATGACTACGACGAACAGCGGCAGACAACATGACAACCCCTTTTGGTAGCAAGTCCACTCGAGAAGTTCAATCGGTGGGGATGTGGAGGTGCTTATTTAAGGCCGCCGCTGCACAAGGTCAAGGAATTCCGAGCAGGGGTGCCTTCGAAGAATCGAAGGGATTGTATTCTTGAAGAAAGGGTCGACATCAGTATTGAAGTGATTTTTCGGTGCTAATTGAAAGCCGACTTCACACTGCGGGCAGGAATATCGTAAGAATTTTCTGAGAACTCTATTGGAAATTTCATCGATTTTTCTGAGAATGACTCCGGAGAAAGTTTTTTAAGAACCCCAGCCGCACTCGCTCCACGAATCACTGGACAAATCTTGAAACACCGGTTCCCAACTCAAAGAGCGGCAAATCACAACATTCCTTCCCCCCCCCTCTCCCCCTTGTGCCGTAGGTGCTCATCTGCGGAGCGGATACTTTGTAATGTCTGCACCCTTCCACATGTGAGGCACCCTTGAATACTGGCTAACGGACTCATGCGGAGCATGAATACGTAGCTTCTTCACATTTGTTAAAGTGAGCGGTTCAACCCACCCTCCCTGGCGGTCTCATCCCTCAAAGGGTTTAGGCATCCCCCACTCCTGAAGCTGCGGAAATACCCACTCAAAGAATGTGAAAACTTTGGTTACCATAGCTTACCTAATTGTATAGTTGCTAGATTAAGGGACGTTTCCACCCTAACTGCTCCAGCGCCATTTTGTTTTCTGTCATACCTCACCTCCCCCTTCATCTACTATTCCTTCATTCCACTGATGTCATGGAATTCATTCCTAGCGATCTTGTTCAAGTTATACGAAGCGGGTTGTGGTTCTAAGAAACCACACCATATCTCAGCCGCTCTTTACCCGTCTTCTCTGTAGCCTCTCGTGAAAGAGACTGTTGTGGAAAATTCAAGTAGTTACGTAACCGAGCTGTGTCACATGGCCCCCTTATGGGCACATTCATAGTCGGTACTCCGATCGTAACGCTCATAACGATCGCACAGCATCGGATGCGTACCGATCGTCACGCATCCAATGCTGTCCGATCGTTACGATCGTTACGATCTCACGATCGACTATGAACGCGTCGACTAACCGCATGATCGGCCGACTACTGAGCTCGGTCTTTAAAACCCGCCTCTGCAGCCCTGCGGTCTGCGCCCAATATACAGCGGATCATGATACTGATACCTCAGCACAATCACAGCGAACTATGCCACACTGCGTATGTTCACACACCCAGAGGTCACCTTCCACTCCCCTTTTAAGCTTGGTCCTGCAGTCTTGTTTCCCCTCAGACTGACCGTACCAGGCGCAATATTCTGATCTTCTGCTCTCTTGTTGTTTTGTTATAGGGACAGACAAAAATAACTCGATAGAAGTAAATTCCTGGGTGCAATACAAGTGTTACGGGATGCCGATTTTTTGAATACGACATGCGCATGTAGGTAGGGAACTATGCTACCTAACTATATAAGCAACTCACACATTCTAGCTTTTCTCGCATCTCAAGTGACTGTCCTCATCCTCCACGCCGTAGATTGGCCACATCCCCGAGGCTCACAAATCCTCTCATTTTTCGTGCCGCCAAATAGCGGGCAGCAGTCCCACTTACACACATTTCGCACATACCGTATTCGACAAAGATGGTATGCTCATCTCTCCGGCCGATGCTGCATCATCAGATTTTGCAACTACTAACGATCCTCAACCACTTTCTGGTGTTCTGAGAACTCCTTAGCGATTTTCGTAGCCCATCGTTCTATTCAACAAGGGGTCTGAATGTTCGTTTGCACGCCGAATCTAGCTGGAGCGGATCCAGTTCCGCGCTACTGTATTTAGTTCCTAAATTTCAATGGTTTGTATTCAAAGCATCGATAACAATTTTCATTGTGTTGATTTGTCGATTGGTGCTTGCAGAAGGATCGTGATCTCGAGATCGCCGCCAAGATCGGCAGTCGCTGCTCGGCAGAATTCGAGACCTGCTAGCAGCGCGTACGTTCTTTATTGACTCTTTTTATTTTTTTGAGGAATTCAGAATTCTGAGAGAACTTTTGAAGAGATGGCTCATTTATGATATATCACGTCATGTGACGAGTTTGTCAGGAACCTCGAAGTTCCTCGAGCGAGAAGCTTAGCCGAAACGCTTAGGCAATATGACGTTGTCAAATTGATAGCGATCAACTTTTGACGAAGAGGTGCCGAATTGCTGCCGGGTCTACTGCCGTTATGACGATGATGGCTTCACCCGGTAAGGGTTTACAATATCTTTCAGTTTTTCCTTAAGAATATGTTAGTATTTCCACTTGTCCCTACATATTTATGTTTATATTTATACTATGTCTATTGTCTTGGTACTTTCCGACTTTCTTAAGTACGTACGGATCTCATACATACACTTCAACAATCTATAAATTTTCTAGTTATCTTTTCAGCTACTTACTTCTGTTGTTATTGCTTTTGTCATTTATTGTTGCGTTGTATTGTTTATTTGAATGCATTTTTCATTGGGTTTTCAATGGTCACTGCGATTTGTTTTCAGGGAGACGACCGATGATTCTCTGAAAAAGCGCTTGGAAAAAACCAAGTTAGAGAATATTAAGCTCAGACACGATGTAAGCAGTACATTTATTTACAGAATTCATTCGAGTTATCGACTTACTGTTTTACGCAGTATCGCGGCTTTCTAGGTGTTCTCAATGAAGAAGGAAATGGAGGCACAAATCGAACGCGATCGAAGTCGATACGAAGAGGTGTCACGGCAGTTTGAATTAGCACAGCAGCAGGTGAATGAAACTTTGATTTTATGGAATCTTTGCGATTCCGAGGGAATTTTAAAAAATTTCTCATGATTTTGTTTCAATTCTGCGCTCAATAAAAGTCATCATCTTAAGAAATCTGGTCCTTTTTGATCATCTGAATGCGTAAATGGACACATATGTTGCTTAATGATTTCTGATCTATAATATTTGAAATACGATTTGAATTGTTCTATTCCAGATCGTCTCACTGCATGCGCAAGTTGTCGAAAGAGGCGAGGATTACGCTGCACAGTCTGTAGTGGTCGAAAAACTGCTGCGGGAAATTTCCCTCAAAAGCAGTCGTGAGCGCGAGGTAATTGAGCATACTTTCCTCGCATTCACGCAAATTAAGTTCTTTGGAAGTCTCACCAAAACTTTTTCTCAGAATTATGTTAGGCTCTTTTAGATGACCTTCAAAATTAGTTTGCTATCAAATAACGAATCCCATTTTCCAGCTGACAGCCGAGAACGCCGATTTGAGTCGACAGGTTGATGAAGCGTTACATAGGCAGAATGAGCTTGGCATGCAGATGAAAGAACTGCAGGTCTGTGCCGATTTTTTTCTCTGTGGAATCGTATCTTCGATATCAACTATTTTAATCGCTCGGTGTAAAAGTGGAGCAGTCTCTTACTTTGAGCTTACGCTTTATCCGTAGATCGGAAGCCA